CCATCCATCCACCCACACACTCATCCATCCATCTATCCATCCATCCATCCACCTCTATCAATGCATGCATATATCCATCATCTACCCACCCATCCATCCATCTATCCACTCATCCATCCACTCATCCATCCATCCAGCCACCCATCCCACCAACCCTTCATCTGTCCATCATCTACCCAACCATCTGTCTGTCGTGTGAATGTCAACAGAGTGCCCTAATCAGTGACAACAGTTGAGTACAAAAGTTGTCATAAACCGTGGGCTGTTGATTGCAAAAGGGGGCTCTGTGCACACAGACGGCGTCAGCGCTGTGTGGTGTTTGGGCCTGGGACACGAGTGTTCCCAACGGAAAAGCAGATGAGCTGAGGGCAGAAGGTGGGCGCTTGGTGCTGAGCAGTGGACCCATGTGTGTGCTGCCTCCTCCCCATCCAGGGCCCTTGCTGTGGGAGTCTGTTTCCAAGCCCCCATGGCCCAGCTGAATCAGATTCACAGGGTCCCTGGCAGCCAGCACACTGCTGCTGGTACAGGCACTTAGTGTGAGCATCTTTATGCCCAGGTGACAAGTCCCCACCGCCGTGTGCTCCGTCCTGACCTTGACTGGCTGGCAGTGCAGCCACTAGGGCTTAGGCTGCTCACGGAGTGGATTGTTGGCGTATCTGAAGATCCAGGAGAGCAGGAGTCACAGGGAGACAGCGCTGGGCACCCTTTCTCATGGACGGTGTTGGGCTGTCGAGTGGTCCAGGGCTTGGTCTAACCTCACTGAAGCCTGCTGTGTTGCCAGGAACACGAAGGCTCACACCAGCTGGCACATGGATGCCATCCTGGAAGGGCAACGCGAGGGCTTTGCATGCTCTGGACCTAGGGAGCGGCTTTCTGAAGAGATGATCCTGAAGGCCGAGGAAGGGGACCTTGATTGGATCTATGGAACCCTGAAGGACGACCTCGTCCATCCCGACGTGGCCGACGCCAAGGGCTACACTGTGCTTGCGGCTGCTGCGGTAAGCCCCCACTGCCACCTGGTGGATGCCCGCAGGAACGTCGAGCGGGGAGGTCACTGCGGGCAGGGAGGTCACTGCCGGCAGGGCCCTCGCTGCTGCTCTGGAGAAGCCGAGGCGCAGGAGTGCCACACAGGTCCACTCCTGCTCCCACAGAGGGCGCGGAGGCACCCGCCCGGGTGGGGCCCACAAGGTCCTGTGGAAGGGGAGGGCATGACCTTGTCCCTTCACCAAGCTCCATCACAAGCTTACCAGAGCCTGCCATGCTGCCACCTCAGAGGGGCCTCCGCAGACCCCAGCGCCACCTGCTGTCCTCTAGGCACACTGTCACAGCCGCATCGTCAGCCTTCTCCTGGACCTCGGGGCAGACGTGAACAAGCGCACAGACGAGGGCCTCACGGCGCTCAGCATAAGCTTCCTCCTCTACTACCCCAGTGGGTCCTTCAAGCCCAACGTCGCCGAGAGGACCTTGCCCCAGGTCAGCCCTGCCAGCCGCTGGCTCCCTGTCTCTGCACCCAAGTGTCCACCTGCACCACCCTCCTGTGCAGACCAGGCTCACACTGGCCAAGTGACAAGATGAGTCTGGGGGAGGGGTCAGAGGATGGATGTGGCACTGCCTGATGCGTCCTGAGTGCGACAGCACGTCCCAGAGCCACGCTCTGCAGCTCAGCCCGACCCTCTCTGTGCTGGACAGGGTGGCACCACACAGCTGCCTCCGGGCAGCGCCCTGTTCCTGCCAAGTTCCTGGTGGGACGGAGCTGCAGGTGGGATGGCACTGTGTGCCGTGGCTTGACTGGGAAGCCGACCCAAAGCAGTGTCATTTGGTGGGAATCGGATGCAGGCCACAACATGACCTTGAACCTGTAACTTGAACTTTTCACATTAAAAAAGTAAACTCGGTGCATGATACATTGTATTCAGCTGACAGTACCTCAAACAGGGTCCTTTCTGTGTGTAGTCACTGGGGACAGCATGGGTGGGGCCCTGCCTCTGGGTCCCAGTTCTGGACGAGGTGTTCTAAGAGCTCCTGTGTGGCACTGGTGTCCCCAGTGGTGGCCAGCTGACCTCAGGCTTCTGGTGGGCACTGCAGGGCATCTGCCTCTGAGGTTTGTGGTGAGGTGGGAGCCGCTGCTGTGCTCTGGCGGTGCTCTGCGTGGCTCTGCAGGGGTGCCGGCCCTCGCTGCGGTGGTGTGGGGGCTGCCTGCTCTGGCCTCCCCTAATCTGCTTCCCTGGCACTCTCCAAAGGCACCTCCCAAATGCCCGGTCACCCCAAGCTGTTTTCTGGATGTGAACGTGGAGTCTGTCCATGAGGCCAGCATGCCCGCCCGGGGCCTCGAGGAGGGCAGCCTGTCCCCGAGTGCACAGCCGTCTCCAGAGTCCCCAGGCCAGCAGGGCAGCCCTCCAAGGGAGGAGTCGCCCACCATGCAGGGCAGCGCCAGCGACAGGGACAGAGAGCTGGGGGAGAAGGCCGAAGACCTGGGTGTGTGCACCCTGAGCAGCGAGGACTCCAACTTCCAGTCCGTGGCCTGTATGTACAACTACGCCCTCCGGCTGTCCAGGGAGGTCTTGGAGAGGAGCGCCCAGGCCTACAGCTTGCTGCGGGTGCCCTGCATGGACAAGGGCACCGTGCGGAGGATGGCACAGGGCATGATCAAGTAGGTCTCCGCCCGCGCTGCCGGGGCGGGTGCGCTCTGAGAGCCATGCCTCCTGTCCCCGGGGCGCTCGCCACAGGGTGTCTCCAGAGGTGTGAGTCTGTCCTTTGAGCATCGGCAGGGCCAGTAGACACTGATGAAGCCTGTGCTGAGCGCCACAGCAGAGCGCTGTGTGTGTGGTGTTGTGCAGTGTGTAGTGTGTCAGGTTTGCTGTATGTTGTCTGCAGTGTGGTATGTGTTCTGTGTGTGGTGTGTTGTGCGTGGTATGTCGTGTGTGGGGTGTCTGTAGGGGTGTGGTGTATGTATTGTCCTCTGGTTTATGATGTGTGTGGCATGTGGTATGTGTTCTGCGTGTTGTGTGAGGTGGTTGTTGTGTATGGAATGTGTGTGCGTTGTTTATTGTGGTATGTGGCGCGCAGTGTGTGTGGTCTGTGTTGTGAGGTGTGTGTGTGGAAGTGTGTATTATAGTGTATACTACATGGTATGCCTTGTGTGTGGTAGGTATGTTGTGTGTTGTGGTGTGTGGCGAGTACTGTGTTCTGTGCACGGTGTGTGCTGGGAGGAGTGGGTGCAGGGTGGGCTTCTTGCCAGACTGGTGTTGAGTGTGGCTTGGTCCTGGAGGGGCTGGCCTACCCTGTCCCCAGTGTCTGGTGACATCAGGGAGGCTCAGCGGACCCCAGGCTGCAGCTGCAGTCCTTCGCCCACAGGGGATGGTGTGGAGATGGCCACACTGCCCACCTCCCCTGGTAGGGGCCAGGGCCTGGGAAGGGGGTGACCTTGGGTGTTCTCCAAGTCTATGAAGCTTGGGGCTTGGGTGTCTGTGGTGCCCACACCCCTCCCAGAGCACCCTGCACCCTGCAGCACGGCGCACCTGTCCTGGGGGTCCTGTCCACACAGCCGGGGTTGGGGGGCCTCACCTTCCCTGCAGCCTGTGACCCCTGGCGCTGACCCCTGCAGACAGAGAAACCGGTGGCTGACCATCCAGCTGCTGCTGCGCCGCGGCGCTGACCCCAACCTGTGCAGCGTGCCCATGCAGGTGCTGTTCCTCGCGGTGAAGGCGGGTGACGTGGACGGCGTGAAGCTGCTGCTGGAGAAGGGGGCCCGCACGGACGTCCAGTACCCGCCACAGGTAGGCCACCGGGGGCGGGGCCGAAGCTCAGGGCCGCGCCTACGCGCAGTGGAGCTGTGGCCCTGCGGTGCAGGCTTGGTCTGAGTGGACCTAGGGAGAGGCCCGTGCTGGGGTCGCCAGAGGGTGCGGGAGCCGTGTTGTTTCTAGGCGGTGCCGTGGCTTCCCAGCCCCAGCCAGCACCCAGCGTTCAGCACTGCGCCTTCTGCAGGAGCCTCCTGGGGGAGCGAGGCCACAGCCCTTCCCAGGGGCTGGCGCTCCGCGGCCCGCAGCTGCAGAGCAGGTGGCTTAACTGAGGCAAACAGGGCTTTCCTCCACAGAGCCCTGCACGCTTCTTCTCACGCACTCGCCCGCGGGCCTCCTGCTCTGCCCACCATGGCTTTGGGGCCATCCCTCCGCGCGGGCCAAGCCCTCTTCCTGGCCACAGGGAGGCGTTGAGAAGTGTGTTCAGGAGGGTCTTCCTCTGCGTCAGCTGAGCCGGAGGTGCTGTTCTGTGAAGGGTTAGTGCTGCGGGCGGCTCTCTGGGTTTCCTCTTTAGCCTCTCCTGCATGCCCTGTGCCCCTGGGCAGTGGTGCCCTCCCAGCCCAGCCCCAGGGCCTTCCAGCTCTCTTCAAACCACAGCTCTGGAGGGACCTCCAGGCCCTGCCTCTGCCTGTGGGCCTCCTTTCCCTCGAATCTGGTGTTATTCATCTTCTTTCATCCGGTTGCTCAGTTCTGGGGCCTGAGTCTCAGAGGAGCGACATTCAGACCACAGCAAGGTCCCGGGGGCTCATGCTGTAACCCCCAGCAGGGGCTGGGTGGGCTGCCTGGAGACCCGTGAATCCATATAGCTAAAATGGCCTCAAGCCAGTCCACGTGCTGTTAAGATGAATTTGCACCACACTTGGGAAATCTTGAAGAGAGAGGACGTCCTGGTGTCAGACTGTGGAGGAGGGACCCTGGGCTGTGTGGTGCGGGCTGCTCTGAGTGGCCCTCGTCCCCTGGACACACTGCACACCGCACACACGCTTCTGTTGCTTCTAGTGTGACACAAGTCTCTGGGGATTTCCACTCCTCGGGTGCTTCTTTGGTCCTGGTGGATGGATGTCCCACCTTGTCTGCAGCTTTGCTGAGACGGAGGCGCCGTGAGTGCAGTGGCAGCCCCCAGGGCACTTGCTCAGTCATCGCTGGGAGAACATGTTTCCAAAGCACTCTTTCTGGCTGTGTCCCCTGGAAGTGAGCCTTCCTGGTAGGCGCCCACCTGCAGAGCAGGTGCCCACTGTTCCCTGCCCACCTGTGAGCTTTGACCTTGCATTTCTCCTTGGGTGGCAAGGTTGAGCCTCTGCTCCTCAGACCAGCCTCATATGGTACAACCACAGACCAGAGGCAGTGGGTTTTAAGGGAAGAGGTCCATTGGGCTCATGGTTGGATGGTTCCTGGGCCTCACTGTTTGGATCTGGGCCAGGGTGGCACCTGAGGAGCCAGGACACAGAGAGCAAGGACAGCCTTGGATCCCACTCCCCTTTCTGAGTCACAGCCCTAGAGACCTGAGGACCTCCCACAGGGCCCCCTTCTGGAAGGTTCCACCTTCTTCCAACACCTGGGACCAAGCCTTTGACTCAGGCCCTCTGGGGTCACTAAGCCTTTTTGAACATAGTATTCACATACTCGAAGCCACCAGCGCTTCACTGGGAATTGCCCCAACACCGCCCCTTTGGCCCTTGGGGCTGGTGGTGGACTCACTGCAGGGCATTGTTGGGATTCTGTTGGAGAGCTGGGTACAGTGACCTTGTGGGCAGCAGAGCAGGGCCCTGCTCTTTCACGTAGAATGGCTGGGAGTTCCGGAGCATGGCCAGGTGTGTGAGCTTGTCTGGGCCTTGACATTGGCGCGATGGCATAGCTGTCCTCTTGCTACGGCCAGGGCTGTCAGAGATGGAGTGCCGGCTCCTCAGCAGTGCGGGCTGGGCTGTTTTTAGAATCTGGACAGACGCTTTTCTCAACAGGACATCACAGATACACAAGGAAACCCAAAGCAGTGAGAGAATCCGCCAAAAAGCCAGGCGAGAGGCTCCGCCCCTGCCCTGGGCCGTCCCCTCTGTGCGGGGCACCTGCCTGCCCTCACGTCACAGCTCTGGTGACCTTGATCTGGAGTCATCTCAGGGTCTGTGCCCTGGGGACCCTGCTTGTGCGTTCCTCTTGGCTTTCTTTTGTGCTCTCTGCAGATCATAGTCTGAACCTCCTGCCGAGAGGCTCCGGAGTGGGAAACTGACCCTTGTCATCATTTTGCCCTCTTGCTTATCGGGTGATGGAGAATTCTGGTTCAGAACCTTCCCCTGAGAACTCTGGTGGTGTCGCTTGTGTCCGTGGCCTCAGGCCAGTGTGACCCCCTGACTCGCCCCGTCTGCTAGCCACTCTTCCTGGGCACCGGTCAGCCCCGGGTGGAATTTTCTTCTCTTGTCTCATGAGTCCTTGTCTTCGTCTTCCTCTCTGCTGTCCTCTGGGCGCCCCTTCTTTCCTTTTGCTCTGTCTGGATTTTAGGGTGCGCTTTCTTTCCATTTCTCTGTAGCTCGATTGTTTGGCGAAGCTCCCTTGGGCCTCCTCATACCGCGGTTCTCCCTTCAGTCAGATCCATTCTGCCTTTCAGCTACTGACTCTCATTTCAGTGGTTTTGTTTGGAAGTTTGACACCTCCAGGTGGCGCTGTGGATGTGAGATCCTGCTGACCTCCTGACCACTGGGAAACCCCTTGTGGTGCTCACGTGGGCCAGAGCTCCCCGTGTGCCAGTCCTTGGGCCCTCAGTGCTGGCTTCTCCCAGCATTGGGCAGAGGCTGGTTCCCACCTGCGTCCTCGCGCTGGGTGCTCCACGGAGTGCTGGCTCTGGCTGCGCGGGCTCCCCAGAGGCTGCCCTCAGGCTGTGGACCCCACCGAGAAACTGTGCCACACGGCCACTGCTCCCCAGGTCCTCTGACTGGCCCTCCCACCACTAGCTCTGTCTGCTGTCTGAGTCATCTGCGTCCTGCCCTTAAGGGCCTTGGGGTGCTTTCCTCTGGGACACCTCCTGATGAGCTAGGTCCTACTTGGAGTGCTGTGCTGGGGCTCCACTCCGATGCAGGCAGGGCGCTCTCAGGGCTCCTCTGAGGGCCAGTACCCAGGGACAGTCCTCCAGGGACCTCAGCTGATGGCCAGAAGGACGTCCGGGTGAGAACAGGCAGATCAGGAGGCCAGACAGGAGCCGCATGACTGTCAGGGTGGGGGCACCTGGGCCGGGGCCAGGCTGGGACAGGGCTTCTTAGGAGAAGGTGTTGGACAGTTGGTCAGTGTGGCCCTGACCAGGATGGACTGCATGGCCTGCCAACAGTTCCCGTGCACATGCTCCTTAGTGGGCACTGCCTCCCTCTGCCCTGTGGGCCTCCTTGTCCTGCACAAAGTGGGGCTGGTGAGGAGGTGGTGCGGTGGGAATCTCCGACTGGTACAGGAAGAATGTGTCCTTTCCCCCAGGTCAGGTAGAGGGGTCCTGCATTGGCCCCACCCACCGGGGACCCTCACCTGCCTGGCTCCAGGACAATGTGCCTTACCCCAGCCGTACTTCCTCTGCAGCTGGGGGCGCTGACCCCGCTCCACATCGCTGCTGCCCTTCCAGGGCAGGAGGGGGTCAGGATCACAGAGCTGCTGCTGCATGCCATCACCTGTGTGGACGCCAAGGCGGCTGATGAGGACCACACGTACAAGCTCAACAGGGTGCGGCTCTCTGAGGCACAGGGCAGGACGGGGACCTGGCTGGTCTGGGTTCTCCCTGAGTGGCTCTGGGCTGCAGAAGTGCCTGATTGTCAGGGACACTTGCTCCGCCTTGGCCTGTGTCCTTCTCCTGGGGAAGGTGCTGGCCTGGCCTGGCTCCTTAGAGCAGCAAGGACACAGATGTGCTCGGGGCTCAGGGGACTCAGATCTCCCAGGCTTGGGTCAGGCTGGGCTGGTTCCACCCACCAGAGGCTGTGAGGGGGAGTGGGGGCAGGGTGGCTTGCTTCTGGCTGGGTTTCCCTGGGGTGCAGTGGCTGCACCTCTGGGCAGCTGAGGTGGGGCTTGAGCTCTGGTGTGCGTGGGGGACAGGTGTGGGTGTCCAGGTGAGCACGTGGCTCTAGTTCACATTGTGCTGTGTCTTTTCCACCTGCAAAGCCTTCCTGAGCCTCCTGAGCTCCCAAAGACCCCCACAGGCCCCTGCAGAGGTCTGAGACCAGACCCCAAGGGTGGGCTGCTCCTCGTCTCCTCCTCATGCCCACAGAACCTTGTGTACCACCCCCACTCCCCGCACCAGGTGTGGCAGAAACTGTTAGGGTCGTGCAGATAGGATGTGTGGTGTGCAGCTCTTGGTGTGTGGGAGCCCTAAGCAGAGGGCACAGGGTGCCTCTCACCCCGTGGAGTCAGGTGGCTGTGGCATCAGGCGGAGCCAGACACAGCAGGGCTTTGATGCAGAGTGGGCAGGAAGCTTGCTGTCTTGGTGCTCACGGCCTCCCTAGCCAGCAAGTGGCATGTCCCTGGGTGTTGGCCAGGCGACCCAGGCCAGTTCTTGAACCCTCCTTTGCACACAGATGGACCTGCCACCCTCAAGCCTGAAGCTCACCAATGAGCCAGGCCCACCCAGCACCTACTATACCACGAACACCTGCGTCCCCATAGAGGGCGGCAGGACAGCTCTGCACGTGGCCTGTGAGCGGGAGGACAACAAGAAGGCGAGTGACCACAGGGCCCGGGCTGGGGTCCGCTGGCCTGCCCAGAGCTGGGGTACTTTGTGGAGAGCGTGTGCTGTCATGCTGGAACTAGGCCACGGCCCGGAACAGGACCGGAAGAGGGCGGGCAGAGAACGCAGGGTCTGTGCCCAGATCCTCCTGAGGTTTCTGTGCCACCACTGCATGTACAGGGCTGTGTGCAGGTGTGTGTGTAAGCAGGTTTGTGTGTGAGCAGGTGTGTGTGTGCAGGTGTCCATGTGAGCAGGTGTGTGTGTGCAAGTGTGTGTGTGAGCAGGTGTCTGTGCATGCAGGTGTGTGTGCAGGTGTGTATGTGTGCAGGTGTGTGTGTGCAGGTGTGCAGGTGTGTGGGGGGCAGGTGTCTGTGTAGGTGTATGTGGGGGCAGGTATGCAGGTGTGTGTGTGCAAGTGTGTGTGTGTGCAGGTATGTGTGGGGCAGGTGTCTGTGTGGGTAGGTGTGTGTGGGGGCAGGTATGCAGGTGTGTGTGTGCAAGTGTGTGTGTGCAGGTATGTGTGGGGCAGGTGTCTGTGTGGGTAGGTGTGTGTGGGGGCAGGTATGCAGGTGTGTGTGTGCAGGTGTGTGTGTGTGTAGGTATGTTTGTGTGCAGGTCTGTGTGCAGGTGTGTGTGTGGGCGGGTGTGTGTGTGTGCAGGTGTGTGTGTGACCAGGTGTGTGCATGCAGGTGTCTGTGCTTGCAGGTGTGCAGGTGTGTGTGTATGCAAGTGTGTGTGTGGGCAGGTATGCAGTGTGTGCAGGTGAGTGTATGCAGGTGTGTGTGCAGGTGTGTGTGTGTGTGCAGATGTGGGGCAGGTGTCTGTGTGTGCAGGTGTGTGGGGGGCAGGTATCTGTGTGTGTAGGTGTGGGAGGCAGATATGCAGGTATGTGTGTGCAGATGTGTGTGGGCAGGTGTGTGTGGGCAGATGTCTGTGTGTGGGCAAGTGTGTGTGTATGCTCGTGTGTGTGTGGGTAGGTGTGTGTGTGTGTGCAGGTGTCTGTGTGGGAGCAGGTGTGCTCATACGTGTGCACAGACGTGTCTGTGAGCTTGTCCTTGTGAATCAGTGTGTATGTGAGTGCAGTGAGCAGCTCAGCTGGGGAGTGGGCACTTCCCCATGGGGGTCCTGGCCGCTGTGGTCCAGGCCAGCAGTTCTCAAGATGCAGCCCCTCCTCGTGAGGTTTGGGATCAGTGCAGCGGGCCTCATGCAACACTGTCTGGTGGAGCAGAGCACAGCAGGTCAGAGTGGAACCAGCAATGGCAGAGGACACATGGGCCACTCAGGCACTGGAGCCTTGCACACAATATTTTTGGACCCATGCCACAGGCGGGCCACGTGCACACAGGGATGGGGCCTGTGCTGACAGGCATGGGGGCTGCTGTCCCGGGCTCTGGCTGTTCTACCCTGCCAGCCCCCGCCAGCCTCACCACGCCGTCTCTGGCTAGGGGGCCCAGGGCAGCCCCAGCTTCCTGGCCCAGGGCAGTGTCCCCTGGCCTGGCGGCACTTCCTCTGGGAGCAGTCCCAGCAGGTTGGGTGCTGGAAGCACCTGGAGGAGACCACGTGGCTGAGTGCGTGTGGGGAAGGCAGAAACCAAGCCCTGTGCCTCGGGGCCTGCGCAGTTTGGGCCAGTCAGCCACGGGGCACACAGGAAGCGGAGCCTCAGTTTACCCACCTACGGCCAGGGTGATAACCTAGTGGGGAGCCCATGGGGGCAGGCGCATGGGTGATGCTGGGCAGGGGAGTTGCAGGCAGCACCAGGCCTAAGGGGGAAGGAGCAGGTCCTCAGGGCCCACTGCTGGCCACATCTGGAGGGCTCAGAGTGCCCGCACGAGAGGGCGACTGGGGGAGTTCCTGCTGTGGGGGGCAGAGGTGGCCACCCCGCTACACTCCTGGGGAAGAAGGGGAAGAGGGAGGCACCGAGGGCTGCCTGTGGCTCTGCAGGGCTCGGGCCTGTTGCTGGCCTCTGAGCCAGAGAAGCAGAGGCTTCCCCTGGGCAGGAGGGCGGCCACCTTCCAGCCTGACGGTGCCTGTCGGGCTGGACCTGGGGAAGACCGTTCCTCCGTGACACCTGCCGGGAGCCAGGCCCTGCTTGTGTGGGCGTGGGTCCTGACTCCCCTGCTCCTCGGAAAGCAAGCCCTAGGTCACTTGGGCCTCAGCGCCCTTCCTGTTGCCCATCTGGAAAGGAAGAGCGATTAGAAGACATCTTCTCAGTGTGAGGAGCTCTGACCTTCCCATAGTCTGGGACAGTGTGCGCCTCCTAGTGCTGGTGGGAGGAAGGGGTGTGGCTCGGCGGGCTCCAGGCACCCGCGGGGCTGCAGTGCAGGGCTCCTGGGGATGGATGCCTCTCGCACAGGGGCTGCTCTCTAACCTGACGTGCTTCGTCCCCCACAGTACGCCAGGGACGTGGTCCAGCTCCTGCTCTCCCATGGAGCGGATTCCAACCTGCTGTGGAGTGGCCACTCCCCACTCTCCCTCTCCATCGCTAGTGGGAATGACCTGGTGAGCACTCCCCCCCCGAGGACGTGCACCCTGCCCGTGGTTCACTGAACTCTTCTTTATTGGGCACCTCTATGTGCAGGCAGCACGGCCACAGGCAGTAGGTGTTGAATAAGATGGACTCTCTGCTCCCCAGGACCCCACGTTCTAGCCGGGGAGCCAGACCCTCGCCCAGGGGTAGCACAATCGCAGGCTGTACAGTGCTGAGGGGCAGAAAGCTGGGGCAGGGCACACACGGCTGCCGGTATGTTCTTGACCTTGTGCTGGGCCTGTCCAGGGCTTAGCTCTGCCTGGCTAGAAAGCAGGACAGGAGTCAGGGCTGTTGGAGCCGCTGTGTGGACTGTCCATGAGAAAACACCAGAACTGGGCTCAGGGTGGAATCCCAACTCTTCCCTAAGGAATCTCCATGTGACCCCGACATGACATGGTCCTCTGTGTATGGGCTCCGTGGAAAGTGCCCAGGGATGGCCGCAGGAGACTGCAGTGAGGGGATGTGACATGGTGGCCACTGTGGAACCCATCTGTTGCAGATTGTGAAGGAGCTCCTGTCCCAGGGAGCTGACCCCAACCTGCCCCTGACCAGAGGCTTGGGCAGTGCCCTGTGTGTCGTGTGTGACCTGGCCTATGAGCATCAGAGGAGCGTTGACAACAAGATAGCCCTGGTGAGAGGTGGACGGGAGGGCAGGAGGGGCCTGGGATGGGGGCGGAGGGTGGGCTGGGCCTGGGATGGGGGCGGAGGGCAGGCTGGCCACCCTGTGCCTGACTGAGTATGGTGGGCAGCGGTTCAGAGGGCTGGAGCTGCTCTTGGGACGTCGGGCAGAGGAGGGAGGGAGCAGGCTAAGTGAGCGGCTGTGGGGCCTGGGAGCTCAGAGGGGGGCTGGCCATGCACTGCCTGGCCCAGCTGCCTGGTGAGACCTGGTGCCCACTGAGGAAGGCCCAGGGCTCCTGTGCCTTAAGGCAGAGCTGGGTGGTTCAGCCCCCAGCATCACTGTGCAGGACAGGAGGAATCACTGTCCATCCATCTGTCCATCAGCCGAGCACCTGCAGCTGCCTGCATCCCCGTGCTCACCCATGGTCTGCCCCTGCCTTCTGGTTATGTTTTTGCATCACTGGGTACTGAACCCATGGCCTTGTGCGTGCTAGGCAGGGCTCTGCCACCAAGCCACACCCTGGCACTCTGCTTTCTTTGGAAAAGGGCAGACAAGGTGGTAGACCTTGGAGGGCTGTCCAGCACTGGCTCTTTTGGAAGGGTATCATGGCTCCAGCAGGAAGAGGAGCAGGGGAGAGGGATGGGGGTTCTTGTAGGTGGGTCAGGCCAGTGGGAAGCTCGCTCTTTGCCCGATACGCAGCACAGTGTCACTGCTGCCTGGTGCAATCTGTGTATGCTCCACCCTCCGCCCCTGCAGTACCACAGGGTGGACACTGCTCTGGCCAGACTGCTACTCCCAGTGCCAGGTGCCATACCCGCGATGCTGCGCTCACAGCCTTGTTGAGAATCCGGGGCTCCTGTGTTTGTGCAGGGTTAATGCTAAACCAGGCACAGGCGTGGGACAGCTATCATGCATCCCTGAATTGGGGTCCCACTGGCATTTAGTTAGCGAGTAGGCCACATGTCACCTTGTGTTCATCCAGCCACACTGGGCCCCCCAGGGCGTCCTCCTGGTCTGGCTGGGGTGGGGGTGGGTGGTGCCGACTGTTAGGTACCATTTGCTTTGAGTGGAATCCATGGTCAGTCCTGAGCCAGAGAGCATTGCTGTGGCATGTTGGCAATGCATACACGCGTGTGCACGCACACACAGTGCACATCTGTCCACACCCACGCACACAGCATGCCCACCCCCACAGTGCACACATGTTCAGAAATGCACACATCTGCACTCAGGTGCATGAATGTCGCTTGCAACCCCCAGTGTGCACGTGTGTGACCACACACTTGGACCTACACACACCCACACTGTATGTGAGCGCGCACGCGCCATCACACACATGCGTTTGCAGTGTCACCAGCACCCCTGCCTTTGCCTTCACACTGCGTACCTTGAAGCCTGGCGGGACCCCGTGGTGCTGCTGGGCAGTTTGCCAGGGAAGTGCCCCAGGGAGTGGTGTTCCTCGGATGTGTGTGGGAGGACCACCACACCACGGCCACCACGCCACAGCCACGGCCACCGCACCAGGGAGTAGTGTCCCTCGGTCGAGGCTGAGACCAGCCTGTTTTCCTGTTTGCCTCTGGTTCTCCCTACACCCAGAAAGTGGCCTCTGGGCAGAAAGCAGGGGACCAAGCCCTGTGGGCAGCCCTGCCCTCTCCCTGTGCTGCCGTCTGGCTGCCTAGAGTGTCTGCAGAGCCTCCTGCCGTGGGCAGGGGCCGCCATGCACATAGCCCAATGCCATGGGTGGCTCTGAGGGACCCTGCTGTGGCTTCTAAGTTTGATGGGTTCTGTCTCCCACAGATTGACCTGCTCATTAGCCACGGGGCTGACATCCTGAAGCCTGTGACGCTCACACAGGGTGACAGGGTGGCCGTGGGCACAGCGGTGGACTACGGCTACTTCAAGTTCTACCAGGTAAGGCTTTGTCTTGAGCAGGGCCACCTGGGGACTTGGCTTCCCTCTGGTGGAGCCGGGCACACCTGCAACCCACCCTGGTCCTCGAGGCAGGCGGCCCCACGGTGGTGAGCACGTGCTGGTGTGCACCCTCACAGTCCCTCGTCACTCTGGATGGAGAGGTGGCCCCTCACCCAGTCACTCTGCAGCTCAGGCTGGGGGAAGGGGGGCCCTTGGTGACTCTAAGACTGTGCCTTGGGTGGGGGGATAGCCCGAGTCTGTGGTGACCCCACAGTGTGTCACAGGACCGGAAGATCGCCCACTGCCCCTTCCACGCGCTGATGCCCGCAGAGAGGGAGACGTTTCTGGCCCGGAAGAAGCTGCTGGAGCACATGGGTGTGCAGCTGCGGCAGGCCGTGCTCACCAGGGAGCAGCAGTGGGACACCAGGGCTCTGCAGCTCAGCAGGAAAGGTGTGCAGGGCAGGGCACCTGGGAGGGCCACCATGCCACAGCCACCACCCCACGGCCACCACCCCACAGCCACCACACCACAGCCACCATACCACACCACAGCCACTACCCCACGGCCACCACCCCACAGCCAGCACACCACAGCCACCATACCACACCACAGCCACCACTCCACGGCCAGCACACCACAGCCACCACACCACGGCCACCATACCTCGGCCACAGCCACCACACCACAGCCACCACACCACGGTCACCACCCCACAGCCAGCACACCACAGCCACCACACCACAGCCACCATACCTCGGCCACAGCCACCACACCACAGCCACTACCCCACGGCCACCACCCCACAGCCAGCACACCACACCACAGCCACCACCCCACGGCCACCACCCCACAGCCACCACCCCACAGCCACCATACCACACCACAGCCACCACCCCACGGCCACCACCCCACAGCCACCACACCACAGCCACCATACCACACCACAGCCACCAGCCCACGGCCAGCACCCCACAGCCAGCACACCACACCACAGCCACCACCCCACGGCCACCACCCCACAGCCAGCACACCACAGCCACCATACCACACCACAGCCACCACCCCACGGCCACCACCCCACAGCCACCACACCACAGCCACCATACCACACCACAGCCACCAGCCCACGGCCACCACCCCACAGCCAGCACACCACAGCCATCACACCACGGCCACCATACCTTGGCCACAGCCACCACACCACAGCCACCATCCCACGGCCACCACCCCACAGCCAGCACACCACAGCCACCATACCACACCACAGCCACCACCCCACGGCCACCACCCCATAGCCAGCACACCATAGCCACCACACCACGGCCACCATACCTCGGCCACAGCCACCACACCACAGCCACCACACCATAGCCACCACACCATGGCCACGGCCACCACATCATGACCACCACACTACAGCCACCACAGCACAGCCACCATACCACGGCCACAGCCACCACACCATGACCACCACACCACAGCCACCACACCACGGCCACGGCCACCACCCACAGCCAGCACACCACAGCCACCATACCACGGCCACCACACCACCACCACCACCATGTCATGGCCATGGCCACCACCCCACAGCCAGCACACCATAGCCACCACACCACAGCCACCATACCACGGCCACCACACCACCCCACAGCCAGCACACCACAGCCAGCACACCACAGCCACCACACCACCACCACCACGCCATGGCCACGGCCACCACCCCACACCCAGCACACCACAGCCACCACACTACCACCACCACACCATGGCCACGGCCACCACACCACAGCCAGCACACCATAGCCACCACACCACTGCCACCATACCTCGGCCACAGCCACCACACCACAACCACCATAACATGGCCATAGCCACCACACCAGGGCCACCATACCATGGCCATGGCCACCACATCATGGCCAGCACACCACTGCCACCACACCAAACCACAGCCAGCACACCACAGCCACCATACTACGGCCACCACACCACCACCACCACGCCATGGCCATGGCCACCACACCACATGTCCACAGCCACTGTGCACAGCCATAGCCACCACACCACAGCCACCATAACATGGCCACACCCACCACACCACAGCCACCATACCATGGCCACAGCCATCATACCACAGCCACAGCCACCACACCACGGCCATCATACTACGACCACAGCCACCACACCACAACCATGGTCACCACACACCACAGCCACAGCCACCACACCATGGCTGTGGCCACATGATGGCTACCAACCTTAGCCACCACACCATGGCCACTATTCCATGGCCACGCACACACCACATTCACAGCCATCACACACCACGTCCACACCCAGTACACACCCACATCCATGGCCACCACACACCATGTCCATGGCCACGCACACACTACATTACAGCCACCACACACCACGTCCACACCCAGTACACACCCACTTCCATGGTCACCACACACCCATGTCCTCAGCCACCTGCCCACCTGTGTCCATGGCCACCCACGCCCATCCAGGCACACTCACATCTTCCACACCCACCGTCCAGTGCACTCCCAGGCACATGGCCACCAAGCACTCCCAGCCCTGGTCCCTGCCCACAGACGCTCACTCCTGACACGGGCATGGCCTCCCACACTCCTGCCACACATGGGCCTGCTGCTGATGCTGCGTCCTGGCTGGTATGAATAGAAGTGACCTTCACTTACACACCACCCACTGAGGGACCAGGCTCTGCCCTGGGCGTGGCACCCTTAGATGGCTGGGCTCTCGGCCAGGACCCAGGCTGGGAGCAGGCTGAGGCGACCAGAGCCTCTGCCTCCTCTGTTCTGTCAGAGAGGGTCCTGCACGGAGTGTCACTCTGGAGATGCCTGCCATTGCTGCCACCCAGCTACAGAGCGTTGGTGTCCAGGCGCTGCCCAGGGAGAGTCCCCCTGTGAAGTCGGAGCTTTGACAGAGAAGCTGAGTGCATTTCCAGCAGCACATGGACAAAGTCAAGCCCAGAGGGAGGCAGTGGGGGGGTGGGGGTCCATTGGAGGCATGGGCTGAACGGCAGCACGGCCCATGGCCAGAGAGCTGGGGAAAGAAGAGGAGGGCCATTCAGGGCCAGGACAGATCCCAAGCACTCACCATGGGGACAGTCCCCCAAGAGCTCTGATTTGATTGGTCCATCTAAAGGGCAGGTTATGTCTGCAGTCATTTTTGAAGCCTGGGAGCCATCAGCTCAGCACTAGTAGAGCTGATATCTGGGTATGCTCACGAAGACAGATGGCCATCCAGGGTGACCGTGGGCATACATACCCAGGCCTCACCCAGGAGGTCGGCCTCAGGAGCTTCATGCTGTGGAGTGGGGGTCGATGCCCACCCAGTTGGCCACTGAACAAGCAGCCAGCAGCCTGGGGAGGTCAGCACCCCAGCGGCTGCAGCGTGTTAGGGGAGGTGCTCTTTCAACGTGTGACCGCGAGACACGCAGAGAGGTGCCAAGGCACACATCGCCCTGCAGGACGGCAGCTGCCAGAGACCAGAGTTCAGATGGGACAGGGAGGACTTCACAGTAGCCTCACGGGCACGTTCAAGAGTCGGGGAAACCATGGTTAAGAGGTAAAGGAAGGAGCGAGGGAACGTCCTGCCAACAGAGGAGACCGATGCAGGGGAGAAGTGACCAAGAAGGGCAAAGTGGACATTCTGGCCTTCAAAATCCCACACTCTGAAAATGGAACAGTCTGCGAGAGGGTCCCAGCTGTGGCAAGAGGAAGGAACCAATGGTGGAGACGGTGCCATCTGAGGAGAGCAAAAGCACCAGGAGGCCAGACCACGCTCGTTGGCGTGGGCGCCTGTGGTGGCACTGCCCGAGCGAGGAGGAGAAGGTGCACCAGAGGGCTCAGGTGGGTGGACATAGGGCCACGCAGGTGCTGGAGGGCTCCATGGAGACCCCGAGGAGATCTGGAGCTCCAGGAAGGACAGGCACGGAGACCTCAGCATATGGGTCACAGTGCGATGCCGGAAAGTCCAGGCCACATCTCCAGGGCCGCGGAGGAGGGCACAGGGAGCCAGCGAGGCCAGCCTGGAAGTCAGGCCTTCTTCCCCTCTCCCGTGAGTCTCAGCTCCAACATGGGACGTCACTGTCCCCAGCACCCTCTCCAGAGCCATGGCTCAGGGAAGGGCCCAGAGGAGACGCACATGACAGAGAGCGCTGACTCTGCCCAGGGAGGCCACTTCCTTCAACTGACCATGGAGAGGTCCAGGCTGGTGGGGCGCTCAGCCACTGGGGTCCTGGCAGACCTGTTGCAGAGACCAGCCGAGCTACCACGCGGCGAGGTGCCGACAGCTGTCGAGTCCGCCTGGTTAGAGCCTCGGGAGCCCTGACTTGATTGGATCAGCCTTGGGGCGATTTATGTCCCAGGGTTGAGTTGACCTGGAGCATCGGTCAGCAGTTAGGAGAACTGCATGGCAGGGTGTGGTAGGGGCTGGTCAAGGAGAGCCCTGCCCAGCCACTGCCAGCCCAGGGTGACCATGGCATCCCCCAGGCGGCACCTTGCTGCAGGGGGAAGTAGATGTCTCCAGTGAGCTCAGCTGGTCACTAAACAGACAGGCAGAGAAGCATGACCACTCTAGGGAAGGACGGGAGAGGTGTGCAGGGCCTCATGCAGAGGGGGCTGGGGGCTGGGGCTGGGCAAGAGGGAAGGAGGACCTGTGCTGGCCTGTGGCCATGGCCACCCGGGCGGGGATGGTGCAGGCTTGGCAGGAGGCCTGAGGGGGCCTGGGGGGAGGCCCTTCCTGCAGGCCTGCTGCGCAGCACTGAGGGCTCGGCCTGCCCCGGGGCTCATGCAGGTCTCTTTCTGACACAGAGGAGCTGGCCCCCAGCCACAGGCTGAAGAAGAGGAACTCCATTGTGGCGAAGATCCCAGCCAAGGAGGAGCAGGAGAAGTGAGTGCTGGGTGGCCCCTTCTCGGGGACAGCATCTGTGGCTGTCCAGCTGGACCTGGCCTCCTGGTCAGGCTGCTCCCCTTGTCCTGAGAAGCGTGGCCTCCCCAGGCCTCCCCAGGCAGCCCTGCTCCTGGGCATGGGCTGCAGTCAGGATGAGGGTCTCAGGGCCCACCCCTGGAGCTGCTCGGGCTGCCCTGGTCAGGCCACAGATGGGCTCCATGTCCTGCAGAGGGCAGCCTCCTCCCCGGAGAGCAGGGCTGGAGCCAAGGCTCTGCTCTCCAGGACGCCCCAGGAGTCTTCTCTGTACTCACATGGTGTCCCTAGGATGAGAGAGCAGGGGCTGGACGTAACTCGTGGGGACGTCCTCACCAATCAATCCCTAGGGACCAGATTCAGGGAGAGAGGTGACCAGGGCAGGCCCGTCCTCCTCCTGAAGCAGAAGCCGGGCAAGGAGGAGCCAGCTTCTCCCCCCAGATCAGCACCCAGGCACTTCCCCATGTGTGTGGGGTCCCCTCAGCCCTCACCCTGCGGCCACTGTCTCCAGGTAGATGTCCACTGTCCACGTAGACAGCCCTCACAGGAGGAGTGTGCCCGTGCCTCCCAGGGCTCCCTGCGCGTCTGTCTCCTGTCTGGGGCACTTGCTGGATGCCTCCACCTGTGGCAGCTGCCCATGGGTGGGGGTGGCAGAGAAGGCCCCAGCAGCTCAAGTGTCCCCTGCCCGGGGGCACCTCCTCCTGACCCTGGGCTTTCTCACAGCCTCCCCTTCTTCAAGTTCTGCTACCAGTGTGGCCGCTCCGTCGGGGTCCGCCTCACACCCTGCACCCGCTGCTATGGGATCCTGACCTGCAGCAAGTACTGCAAGGCCAGAGCCTGGACCGAGTTCCACAGGAAGGACTGCAGTGACATTACGGCCACAGGTAGGCCAGAGGCCGGGCAGGCATCCGAGAGCCCTTTCCAGAACTTCAGCAGCACCGAGGCTCTTCCTAAGTGCTCCTTGGGCCATGGCATGTCCCCATCCCCACAGAGCTGGGCATGCTCTGCTGACCCCTGGACTCTGTTCTCAGGGGTCAGGAGCTCTCCTGGACACCAGTCCCCAGAGACCACAGTCCATGGGCCTCTGGTCAATTTCTGGAGGCTTCTTTGCAGCACTCCCTCTCAGACATCCTGGCTCTGTAAAGGTGGACAGGTGTCTTCTGGAATCAGCCTGGTCTGCCCACCTCACCTGCCTTGGTGCCATCAGGGCCAGCAGAGGGAGGGGCACGGTGCCACACCAGGAGGGGGTTCCCAGGGAGCAGAGACTGGAGCTGTCTCTGAGCTGCCCATGGGCCCTGCCCTGGCACACTGCTTTGAGTCCACGTGCTGTACACCTGCAGGTCATCCCTCATAAAATGGGACTTCTAGTGATGGCCCCTGCTGGGCGCACGCAGAAGTGGGCCCTTCCGTTTGCAGACCTTGCTGCAGACAGCTCAGGAAACACTGGCCAGAGCACACAGGGCCACTGCAGATCCCCCTGGGGGGCTCCAGCACTCCCCTGCTGGGGGGGAATTGGCGCAGCAGCCCTTTGACCCAGGTGGCAAGGCTAAGTGGACACTGAGCCAGGCTGAGTCCCCAGTCCTGGGCCTGGCCTCCCTGGGGTTGGTCCAGGCCCTGACTGAGAGGCCCACAGGCCCCTCCCCCCTGCAGCATCCCGCTGGAAGGATGTGTTCAGGGAGATGGAAGACGGTCAGTGAAGGAGCAGCACTGGACCCGGGCCAGGCGGGGCAGGGCTGTGCCCACGTCTCACTGCCTTGGGCCACCTCCAGGCCGCTGGCCCCTGTGGGAGCTGATACAGGAAGTCACTGAGGCGCCTCGCTCCTGACCCCACAATAAAGTGGCCCACCGCAAGCTCTCACCGTCTGCGCCCACTCCGCCTGCACAGGGTGACGTCCCAGGCCCTAGGCCTGTGTGGGCGCCAGCCGTGAGGCCTCACCGGCCTCCCACGGGGCCTGGGCTGGCTGTGCTTTGTCTTTCAGGTCGGGAGGAAGGCTGGGAGTGTTACTGGGAGCTCAGTCCGTGTCCCCCTTGCTGCTCCAATAACTCAGGACATGGTTTTGATAAAAAGGAAGAGGAAGTTTGATGGCTCTGCCAGCAAAGGAGGAGCTCGGGGACTCGGGTGCCCCCGGGGCTGGGGCTCTGCCCCTCAGGGGAACGGAGGGCTTTTACAGAGCCGTGCAAAGGCTGCTTCCAGGTGGGCAGGGCCACCACTCACTGCGGCCTTGAGAGCGAGCCGCTCTTGGGTCTCCGGGCACCGTCCCTGAAGCCAGAGTCGCTCCCTGGTGTGCTTGGGGACAGGCCACCCGGCCTGGGCTGGGAGAAGGGTGCTTTGCTTCTCCCAGGGCTGGGGAGGTGGGGGGAGAAGAGAGGAGAAGCCATGAGCTTTCAATAAGCCCCGCGGCAGGGCAGCCGGGGTCACGTCCAGAGCAAAGTGGGCCCTGCTGCAGGAGGATGAGCGGGTAGGGCTGGACTGTGCTGCAGAGATGGCCTCTGGACCAAGGGGTTCCCAGTGACTGGCAGATCCCGGCTCAGACGGGAGGCTGCGTCTGCGTCCTTCCCTCGGCACAGGGTCTGATGGGGCCCAGGGTCCATTTCCTAAGTGTCCGTCATGTGCTGGGGCCTGGGGGCCACATGTGCAGCACCCTCAGTGATCTCCTTGATGAGAGGGAGGTGGACAGCAGCCACGCCATGTAGACCAGGGCTGGCGGGACACCCAGTCCTGCCTTGGTGGAGACGGGAGGAAGGCGGGCAGTGACCTGGGAGGGGGCTTCAGGGGGCTGGGACCGTGAGCACCAGCGGCGGATGAGCTGAGGTTTGCTGTGGCCAGCAGAGTGGCCGAGGGCCGGACTGGTGGCAGAGGAAGAGGGGGCCGTCCAGAGCGCTGCGTGAAGGTTCTCCCTGTTTTCTTGGTCTCTGTCAAGATGGGCTCCACGGGCAGCAGTCTCGCTGGGGCTGTCCCAGCCAAGGCTCCTGTAAGGGGCCAGGAGGGCGCCTGGGCAGAGGGAGGAGCCCCTGCGCGGAGCTCTGCCTCCCGGGTGCTCAGGGCTCCAGCAGGGGTGGCAGGCCAGGCTGGTTGTCAGCGGGGGTGAGCTGGAGGGTCGCCGCTGGCCACGGCCCAGGGAGGGGCTGCAGTGTGGGTCAGCAGCTGTCCCTGTGGGTAGGGAAGATGCTGCTGGCCTGACCTCTTATTTGCAGTTACACTTAATTCTCTACGTTAGAGAACACAAAGCCCAAGAGAGCAAGTGCCAGGGTCAGGTCCTGACCCCAGAAGTGGCCGTTGCCAGCCCGAGTCCTTCCAGAGACACTCAGGCACACAGGCAGGCACGCACACCTGTGTGTAAAATGGGGTGCCCTCTGCACCCTCCAAACAAGACCACGGACACCTTCCCATGCTCTTAAGGATTTTTCTAGAAAATCATTTTCCCCAATGAAAATGGCTTCACATTTTTTATTCTGTGTGGAAAGTGCACTTTTTGTTAAGAAAGGGGACAAAGGCTAGGGTGGCAGTGGCTGAGGGCGGCATCCGGACGAGGAGCGTGTCCCTTCAGACTTCAGTCTGTGCCCACCAGCCCTTTCCCCACACACCCTCTCACACGCCCCTCCAGGGACTGCTGCCGGAGAGTCATGGTGTCTTGCTGGTCATTCTGCACTCTACTTGGTGACTGAGTCACCTGCCCCACGCCTGCAGGTGGTCACTGGCCCCTTCCACCGCGTGGCTCTCAGGCTCTGCCCACTCAGATCTGGGCCCTCTTCACCCATCAGCTGAGCCCCGGGAAGCCAAGCCTTGGGTTTCCCAGGGCCAGTCCTGTGCCCTCCGGGGCTCGGGGGAAGCTGGTGTTGGGAGCGGTGGGCTCATGCCATAGGTCGCGAGTGCCAACCAGTGTGACCGTCTGATGTCCCTCTCCCCTCCTGTTTCTGGACGGTTGTCTCCTGATGGGGACGGACCCTACAGCATAGCGTTCCTCTTCGGCCTCAGTGTGACCCTCGCTGCGTGAAAGTGTCAGTATGTGTTGAGCCCATCTGTCCCGTCCTGCAGGATTGGGCTGACAGGCAGGCACAGGGAGCCATCCCCAGAGGGGACCAGGGCACAAGGATGACCTTTGCCTGGACTTCACAACCATCTCAGTGCATTGCTGTTACCTGTGGTTTTAGAATCAGCCCAGAATTAGTTTTGTGTCAAGTAGGAGAGGCACCTAGCGAGGTCTGTCTGGGGATGACCAGTGGTGACCGTGTCAGGACCTGCGGCTCGTGTGGCTCCTGCCAGCAAGCTGGCTCTCCCATTGGCTCCTCCACAGCCCAGCTGTGGGCACGTGTCCTTTCAGAGGAACTGGGGCTGTCCAGTTGAGAGTGTCTTGCTGGTCACTCTGCCTGGCTTGATGGGGAGACCGTGGCACCGTGCCAGGGCTGACCCCAGGTAATGGAGGGTGCTGTGGTGCAGTCGGCTTCCTCTAGATGGGAACCGTCCTGGATCCTCCCTGTCACACGTCACGTCCCACTGATGCCCCTAGAGCCACTTAGGGAACCTTCTGCCACAGTGTCCCTGCCTCCCTCCTGCCCCGGAGCATGCTGACTCCTGCGTCCACACGGGGACAGCCTATTCCCTTCTCGACGCTCGGGTCCTGTGGCCACACACTGAGGCTGCTCACGGCTGCCCTCGGACTTCTGAGGCTCCGGTGGGGTGCCTGCTGCCGGTGCCTGCCAGTACCTGTGGCCCGGAAGCTGCTGGGTCAGCTCCTCTTGTGGGTCAGCTCCACAGTGAGCCCTGGCCCTCTGGGGCAAGGGACAAGGTGACTGGTCCCTGTGCTGGGAGCAGGTTCCCGCAGAGTGGGTGGTGCGGGAGGCTTGTCATGCTCGCTGGGTGGGTTGATGGGCACTGGGAGAGAGCGGAAAACATGGTGCCGGGTCTCGTGCCTGGGGGGTCACTCGCCACAGCAGGGAGGGGCTGTGGGGCCCGTGGCGCATGTGCTGGAAAGACCCTCAGCTTGACGGTTCTCCCCATCGGAAGTGGAGGCAGGTGGCTGGGGGCAGGAGAGCGGCTGAGGCTTGGGAGGGACCATGGACAGCCATCGCCCAGAGCAGCCTCCCCGCCCCAGGGGCCTTGGCCACCTGTGCTCCGTCTTCCCTACTGTGGACCAAGGTGTCTGCAGGCCCGGATTCCAGGGAGCTCTGAGCAAAAGGGAGGCGCCCCGAGGCCTGGCTTGGCTCCCTCCCCAGGAAGTTCTAAAGTAGCCATGTGCCTGATGTTGCTTGTGCTCATGCGCATGGAGGGTGGAGGCCACCCAGCCACTCTGAGTGGGCCTGCCTCCCACCTGGCTGGTCACAGTGCCGGCCCCAGCTCTGGGCACACGGCTCTGGGACGGCCACTGAGAGTGGTGATCTCACTCAGGAGTGCCGCAGGCCGGGGCAGGGCCTGGCCAGGTGGGGGGCTCTCCTGCCGCCTCTGGACCTCTTCAGCGTGTCCTGTACCTCCCTGGACTCTCAGCACCCAACTGTGGCTCTGTGGTCCAGCTCCTTCCTGTCCTTCAGCCCCCTGTTGTGCTCCAAGCTGGGAAGGGCAACAGGAGGCTGGGGGCAGCTTCTCTGTCAGTCCCAGGGTGGAGCGGGGAGCAGGGCAGGAGCTGCCTGTGTTCGGCCGCTGGTGGTCTTCAGGTCAGGAAAGGCAGGGGGATATCTGTACCGTCCATCCTGGCCATGCCCCTGGCCGTTCAGCTGCTGGACCTTGACTGCCAGTTCCAGCCTTGCCGTGAGGGCCTCTTGTTCTAGGCCAGCACCTCTTCTGAGGTGCCCACTGGGTGAGCAGCCCTTGGGGCCCCCCACCTGCCCCGGACCTGCACGCTGGCCGGAGTCCTTGGGGTGGAGACTCTGGGGTGGGTGGGGCTGAGGG